GTGATGTGCATCTCGCACCACTTTGTTCGCTACAGCAATTCTGTATTCATCACGAATGGTAGATATTTCAGGAACTGGAGGAACTCCTTATATGCTACGCCGACAATATGGTCATTATAAGTTCGTTCTGTGATAGCCGTTGTATTAGCGAATAGACTGATACAAGATGTTTCCATCACCGCAGGTAGTGAAACGTTTTTTAATAAGTAATAAGGAGCCTGCCTCCTTAAGTGACTCTGTAGGCATCTAGGAGTTAGAGTCGATGCGTTATACCGTTAAATCAGGTCTTGAAGGTGTTTTGCAACAATGACTGTTTACCCACTTAACGTGTTTTCAGTGGAAATTTTTTTGAAGGAGTTTTTGGTTTTGGGCCCATAATTCATCAATGCACTGTTTTCTTGATGACTGGTTAGGAACCCCGTGCGTAAAGTGGATGAAAAGGCTTTACTAACAGTCGACGCATTTCCTTACCAATACCGGCTCAGTAACGATGTTAACAGAATAGTGGCTTCATCCTGAATGGCAGTTATGTGTCAGTCAGTCGGGAATTTGCATTTTTTGCAACAGGTTAATGACTGTACTCCCGTGACTTATATCAGAGGATGAAGAGAATTCTTTGCACATTTGATGTTTTTATGCCAAAAGTAGGTACTCTTGAGACATGCATTGGTAAGGTTAACCACGAGACCATTACGAAATTCTTTGTCAAGCGCTAAACAGTGACTAGTAGATTTAACCACTCTCCTGAGAAGATCTTGTTTACTTCACTGTTTCTAATTCATGCCAGTAATCACAACAAACGTTATTCTTAGTTTGGATAAGGTCTTCATTGCTCACTTTATCACTGATAACATTTCACCAGTGCAGGACTTTGCTTTTATAGTACTTATATAATGTGAATAGTCCATTAATTTCATTTTCGTATGCTTCCCGGAGCATCGAGCTAACAGTTCGTCCGCATTTTTTACGAAATTCAATCCAAGCAACCCCAGTTGGTGCCCATAAGGCAGTTGATAAGATAAAATGCATAGATTACGATAGAATTTATATACGTAAGACATATAGGCCGT